CTACAATAAAACAAAGACAGTCACAAAAGACAGCTTGTTACCCTCCTTCTGTTCAGAAGCACAACCACCAAAATAGAGCTGATGCAAGATATTTTGCTGCCTCAAGCAGATAAGATCCTTCCATTTTCTGTATTTCATTTATAAAAGCCAGCCAGGTTGACAATCGCTTTTGACTTCAACCCTTCCACTATATCAGCAACTAGCAAGTGCATGTCAGGATCTGATCATACAGGTTTGACCTTTCCACCAACACGTGCAGAGAAAAAACATGAGGTCAAAACACAATAACAAAATCAAGAATAGCAAATGAAGTATCTAAAGTGAATCCAAATGATGATGGCGGATCATGAATTCTATAATATAACATGCCCAAATACTTTCTTTCAGTGACAGCCTGACAATCTAAGCCTTGTGTAATTATATACATTTATAATATATAAATACATAAGTCATGATTATTTAAAATTCTCACCTAAGGTTTACTTCTACAATTTCTGTGTATTCCCAACTATACATTTTATATAGAATAGAATAGAATAGAATTCTTTATTGGCCAAGTGTGATTGGACACACAAGAAATTTGTCTTAGGTGTATATGCTCTCAGTGTACATAAGGAGAATAAAATACATTCATCAAGAATAAAAAGATACAACACTTAGTGATAGCCAAGGTTACTAATAAGCTATCAAATTGTACTAGGAAACAAATAAAATCAATATAATTGAAAGATACAAGCAATATGGTTATAGTAATAAGTGGGAAGAGATAGATACTAGTAAGGAAGAGAAGAATAATAGTTCTTAATTAGTTTTAGTAAATTATTTGACAGTGTTGTGGGAATTAATTGTTAAGCAGAATGATGGCATTCGGGAAAAAACTGTCCTTGTGTCTAGTTGTTTGGGTGTGCAGAATGAATAGAAATCCAAACTTGATTTAGATCACAATACACTGTACATCACAAAGCAATTCACAGCAAAAGCCACAAAATATTAAAAAATGTGGTCCTTTTTATTTAGTTCAGGTAAGATTTAAAAAAAAAGATAAATAAAAGATGATGTAGTTAAGGCATCAGGCTAGAAACTGGGAGACCATGAGGTGGGTCACCTTGGGCCGGTCACTGTGTCTCAGCTCTTGGAAGGAGAAGAAGACCAATTCTGGGAGGGGAAAAATTTTTTTGCCAAGAACACTTCAGGGATTTGTCCAGGCAGCCACCAAGAATCAAGATTGATTTAAGGATACTTCTGCCTAAAAAGGAAGATAAAAATAGCCTTCTTTCCAGTTCCATCTATTAAAAGCTCAAAAAATATTGTTTCTTTTTATGGAACATAAGAATATGTGGCTACAATAATGGCATTGACTTGAAAATGTAGACAATTATGCAGATGTCCCAGATGTCTTCCATCCATGATCAAAACTCTTTCCCTGATACTCTGCTTCATTTCTTCTTTATTATTTGTCCCAATTTTCCCCAAATTATTTCCTGATAAGGAGTGTATATCCTATTTTTTTTTAGTTCATGGCTCTTCAAGTTACCCAACTGGTGATGCAAATGCAACATTTAAAATTGAATACAGCTAAGTACAGTAGTTGGATTTAGATCTCTTTAGAGTGTGGCATGCCCATCTGACTGAGGGACTTAAAAGCTGCTTTTCTGCCTAAAAGAATCATGAGGGAAACCATCTGAGTACTTCATGCTGAACATTAAACATTAACTGCAATAAATAATATAATGTATTTATGCGGTTGAATTCGAAGAAGCACACATAGAATGAAACAACTGCTAATTCATGAGGTTCCATGGTAATTCACACAATATTATAAAAGGAGGTTTTCATAGTAATCCGGACCTTTCTGCTAGTATAAGAAGTTTCGCCCTCTCTTTCCTAAACCAAGGAGCATATTTATATTTCATTTTGTTTTTTCTGAATCAGTGCTCTGCACAATATGCAAAATATATTGTGAATAGAAGATAGCTCCTGTCAGATATATGAGGATCTTTTAGATTTAATCAGTTCTTTTATTTTATCTTTCTTGTATTTAAACGTTAGGGTTCACTGAATATTCATGCAAATCATCAATCTACTTTACATTGATGATATTTTCTGTTTGGAGAACTTATGTGTACAGTATTTTATGAATAAGACTGATATGATTACAATCTGGTGCATTTTAATTGTTAATGAAAGTAGTTAGCAAAATGGGTCACAGTGGGAGTTCCTATGTTGTATGAATAGGAAAACCTAATCAATTAACCAAAGCAATTAATCCTAATGGGTCTATGTGGGACTGTTGTAATTTTCAGTCTCTCCCAAGGCCATTTGAGAATAACAGAATAACAAGAGTTGGAAGGTACCTTGGAGGTCTTCTAGCTAACCCCCTGTTTAATCAGAAAATCCTGTAGCATTTCAAACAAATCATTGTCCAAAGTCTTCTTAAAAATCTCCAGTTTTGGAACATCCACAATCTGTGGAGGCAAGTTGTTCCATTGATTACGTGTTCTGTCAGGAAATTTCTCCTTAATTCTAGGTGGGTTGAATAGTTTCCATTCATTGTTTCTTGTCTTGCCTTCTGTTGCTTTGGATAATAGGTTGACCAAGAGGTATGGCCCTTAAATGTGTTTGGCATCGGTTGCAATCATTCCACTACCATTTTTGTTCTCTCCAGTGTGCATGTGGGTAGATTAAACATATAGGAACTAATTTCTTTTGTAGCTTCAGAAGAAAATGCAGTTACAAAACATTTAAAATCCTAAATAGAACTTCATTAAAAGTATTTGTCTCCCTGCTTGCTTTGATATTATAGTGCTAGAAGCAGCTTGTCGCTTTTAAAGACTGACAAGTCTTTTTGATTGGTGACAGCACTAGTAAAGTAATTGCCAGTATAACATTCCATTTTTAGGTGCTCTTATTCAAAGTTTCTTATTTTCTTTGACTATCTTTGATTTTTGTTTGAGCAAGAATAGCCATTTTGTTCAGGATGTATATTTATGCTTTCTAGAGAAGTTTACTGTGTTTCCATATAATTTTCACTTCACTCCCTCAAATTCTACTTTATTGTAGGTGGGAAAACTTATATAACAAAATTTATTTTTAAGGCTTGAAGACATTTAGTAGATATTCATATTACATGAGTGGATAGTAGAAAAACTGATGTAAGTTCAAATTGCTCATTCTGTTTTTGTTATCAGACAAATATTCATGTACCAATTTCTAGTCAAGAAAGTGTTCCTTTAGTAAGCTGATTACAGTTTTCCATTCAATAGGGCCATTGATTAGTGTTATGTGAGTTGTTTTTTTCCATTTTGGGCCAACTTTTGTTGACCAAGCAAGCAGATTAGAGTTAAACAGTTTTTATTTATTTTATTAGATACAAATCCTGCTGTGAGTGTTGCTTGGACTACTAGACAGGATAAGAATTTAATGGATATACAAATAATTAAGAAGAACACACTTTTCAAGGAAGCATGAATTTAAGAAATTTAAATGCTCTCTCCCATTTTATTCACTAACTATGTTTGAAAGATTTTTTTTTAACCATTCACTGTCTTCGTTTGCTGGCAAGGCAGAGGTTTTCTAGCACAGTCACTGCTGATATGTGTTGGGTTTTGCTTTGCTTTGCTTTGTTTTGTGCCTTCAAGTCAGTTTTTGATACCTGACAAATGCCCGGATAAGTCCCTGCAGTTTTCTTGGCAAGATTTGTGGAAAGTGGTTTGCCACTGACTTCTTTCTAGTACTGAAAGAAAGCTACCCAGCTCGCTTTGTGTCTAAGGCAGGACTAGAACTCACAGTCTCCTGGTTTCTTTCAATTTCTAGCCTGATGTAGCCTGATGCCTTAACCAATACATCAAACTGGCTCTATGATATGTGCCTTTGATCTACTTTGAATAAATCCCTTGAATACAGTATATACAGTAGATAGCAGCGAGGGGTTTGATTTCTCCAGTACTAAATTCAGTACAGCACCATTCTGAGGGAAATCTAAATTTTGGCTGGCTACTAAAATTCTATCGATTGTAATCCAAGTGTCAGCCATCTGAGACAGGCCGGGTCAAGAAATAAATCCTGTAGGGACTCCTGGAATGTGTCTTTTTTGTTGTATTAACACTACTTCAAAAACTTTAGTTGTACTTTTTTAAGGACATTAAGGTCAAGGCAGAGTTGTTCTGAGTTTCTTTCCCATGTTTTCTGTTTCACCAGAGGTGAGGAACCATTTCACCTTTCCCTGTTTTTAAGCCCAGAGTTATCGAACAGCTATGACACTTTATTGTCACAGAATTAGTTTTGTATCACCAAAGTCCAGATACTATAATCTTGCATTGCCTGTAAATTATTCACTGATGTGGTTTGCAACTACAGAAAAACACAATTGGAAAAAGGAAGGGTTTGGAATTAGCAAATGCTGTCCTATTAAAGAGAAGCATTTTCTAATCTGTGTGAATGTCTTATATTTCATAGCACAGCCATCTATCTGGCAATCTGCAACCTCCTTGACTGAATATTGACTTCAAAATTGACTTCAATAAATCTCAGGGGAAGATGTGACTTCACCTATTGAGGTTCCTCATATTGGGAAGTGTGAGCAGCTAAGGAGGTTTCAGTGTGATGGAAAGCACTGGAACAGAAACAAGAGAGCAATATTGCTTTCCTCTACCTCCTACAATAAGAAAGCAGATATTAAAACTAAATGGTCAAAAACTCAAGGAACAAAGCAGAAAAACACGATCTTTTCATATGAGATGGAAAGTTTTAAGGAATTGCTAGACTGAATTTGACACGCATTATCTGAGACGATAATACACAACAGATCACCTTCATTGGCTCTTACTGTGGAGTTTGATTGAAACTGACAACATCGGTATAGTTTTTCAATTATTTCAAGTAATTTTTCAATTATGATAGTTTGCATTGAATCTAATAACACATCATGTACAATCTTATAGCATACCATATATAATACAATGTCCTCAGAATGGAATTGATTCTCCTTGTTTTAAATGCAGTTACTTTGAACTGGAAAGCAGCGGCCTGAGAGATGAAATAAGGTATCACTACAGATTTAATGGAAAGACAAGAACAGAAGTATTTCCATATCGGCTAGCAGATGGACAATGGCATAAAATTGCATTGTCACTCAGCGCATCCCACCTTCTGCTTCACGTGGACTGCAATAGGTAAGATATTCTTCATGAGTTTTCCCCTCCTCTTCCTGCCATCTCACATGAGAAATGTCTGCTCCCTCAACAGTACTGCTGGATGAAATTTGAAATGGAATTTTATATGCTCCAAAATGTCAATTGAATATTTGAGTGAAAAGAGAAAATGGCACGATAATTAAATAGCAAGCCTCCAGTTGCTGATTTTGGAGTGGTGGAAAGGTATTAATGTATTGCGTCATTCTCTAGATATCAGTTGAAGTGCAATGCATTGTATAGTCTATTTTTTTTCTGAAGAAGGCTTCTCTCAGCACGCATCTAATATCTGAAGGTGTAATTGTAGCGTCTAATTTCTTTTCATGTAATAAGTGCCTTAAAATATTCTTTAACTTCTTTTTCAAATAAGACATTCTGAAAGAAAAGAAAAGAATAGAAAAGAATGAAGACACACCTTAATTCTTTTTTGTACTTTGCAAGAAGCCAAATCTGAATACAGTAGCTCTATTTTTTTTTTCTTAGATTAAAAAGCAAGCCATACACTTGACATTCTAAGATTTATTTGTAAATAATAAAATGAGGCTGGTGGAGAAGTGGAGAAAGATTTTTGCACATAGAACTAAGTAATGTTAACTAAAGACTTTTTTCTCTTAATACCTTTGAACAGGTACTTTTTTTATATGTGAAAACAACATTAATACATTCGGTTTTGTTCTCATTTTAAAAACGTAACAGTTGCTTGCTTAAAAATCTTTAATATTTAAAGTTGTTGCCTGAAGGTTTACTTGAGCTGGTATAATGAAATGAGAAAAAGATCTGCAGGATCTATAAAATATAATCTTTAATAAAAGTATTGGTTAAAAAAAAAAGAAAAAGATCTGCAGGGAGAAATTCCTGATATACACCCTGGGTTATTATTCAAAGGTTATCAATTTTCAACTGTTTTGAATATCCAGGATAACTGATTTAAGAAAGAAACCAGAGAAGTATATCTTGTTTTTTTTTACACATTTTTATTGACAGATATTATAATGGAAGTGACTAACTCTTCAAACCCAGAGTTTATTCATGTGTAAAAGTTATAATTATATGGAGGTTGTTTGTCTAAATAAAAGAATAGCTAAATATTGAACACCCTGAGTGATATTTATTTCTTGAACAATGTAAAAATAGTTTTCACTTGACATGTATTTGACCCATCAGGTGCACTAAGATTTTATTTGCAAAATATTAGAAGTATATTTTCTATATTGGGGTGCTTTAATAGTTTATTATAATAGAAAATTATAATATATGCTTCTTTTGATTATGTTTATCAAAGATCACCAGTTCATATGGAAAAGGATGGTTGGAGTTTAACCATACCACACAACCATATAACTGTACAGTATAAATAACAGAATATCTGTAGTTCATATTCCACAACATATGTAACTAGGTTATTTAGGTTAGTGTACTAAGGGGATACAAAAAAGGGTTTCATTAATGTGGTCATTTAACCCCAAAGAGTTAAATGTAAACAGGCCCAATCATGCATAAGGTTAAATAACCCCATGTAATTAGCTGAGTTGTGGGAATAGCTAAATCCAGTCACTTGATCAGTTTTTGCAGACTAGACTGAGAAAACCAGCTGAAGAGAAGGAAGGTATGAAAGGAAGCCTTTATGTGGCTGATTTTTTTTCTTTTTGAATAACTGTATGTACATTTTGCAATGTTGAGTTTTTCTTTCCATCACAATAGAGAACTCTATCATTACATGACTGCTCCCCCCGCCAGTTCCAATAATTTCTGCTTCCTCAGCTGAATCTTCTCAGCTGTTATTCTTAAATTAAGGTTCCTTTGACGTCTTCTCTGCTCTCAAAAGGACTAAGTTGTCAGCAAAACAACAGTTGTCAAGAATTTCCTGGAAACACCATGGTAGAGAGAGTTTGTCTTCCAACTGGTATTAGCATAATAAAACACCACTGCAACTTCATGCTTCTTTTAAAGATCTGACATTGTGTTTGGAAGCCATCATCTATAACTTCTTGGTGATCTTGGCTAACAGGCTCCAGAAGAAGCATTGCTTTTTATTTGTTTCTTTACTTATTTTAACCCAGGTGCTCTCTATACCAATGTTCATTTACATTTCTGAACAGGAATAAATATTTTAAATAAACAGTTTAACTGATCCCTCTCCTTTCTCTTGCTTCTTTCCTTTATATAAATTCTATCCTTCAGTTGCTATATTTCACTCATGGAAATAATGTCACTGTATTCATTACTCAATCATATCTCTCTTCTTATACTAACAGCTCAACAAGACAAACAAGATGTTTCTTACAACGCTGATATGCTTTGCTTCAGAATAACCAAGCAAACAATATCCAGCATGCAAAGTATATACTAGATTTTGATTGTAGTGTAAGGTAGAGTTACCCTGATCATTTTCTGCTGATAAGACATATATAAGAATGTCATTTTAAAGAACTGTCTGATGTTTCGACCTGAGATCTGATGAAGTAAAAAATGGAGGTATGGTAGAACCATGAGATAATGCAACTCAGAAGGTGGCTGTGGAGATCCAATACATTTGGATCTTTGAAGCCATATTTGAAGCCATATTTTTGAAGTGGAGACTCCTCAGCTCTTTAGTAAAAACTCTTAGCTTTTCATGATTCTGATGCCCCAAGAATTGTGGCAGTAATATTCTTGGCCAAAATTTAGGCCTAACAGTGTATTTCCATTTAGCAAAATATTCCCTTAATCAATTGATTTTAGAGAAAGAATAATGGAAATAATAGTAATAACAACATTTTACCCCAATGATCTTAAACACATTTAAACTGAGAACAAGAGTATTCAACAGAGCTTTTGATGCTAATGACCAATTGAATGGCCATACCCACTTTTAATATAGGAATGACCAATTTCTGTCTTGTTAATTGATCAGTGCATTTTTTTTTGTGTGTGTGTATTGTGCTCTAGTGACAAGGTTGCAGGGTAATTGTTGAGGAACCTTTCCATCACCGACTTAACTGTAACCTGCTTCTTGTTCTATTTCTCTACCAGATCAGGAGAGAGAAATTGCTGGCAGATAGGTGAAACTGATTAAAACATGTTTCACTTAACTCTCCACAGTCCTCACCATATTATTCTTCTGACAAGATCTTGTACTTGGTATGTGTGGGAGTAGGGATGAGTAGTGTTTGGGATTCAAAAGCAGGAAGATGTTTTGAAATTCATAGGGGCATGAATTTAGTACCTGTCTGCCACTCATTAAAGCCACTGTACCTTTTCTGAGGAAAAGTCATGTTTTGTTTAAGAAGCTGCACACAAGTGCTGCGATTGTACCTCTGCATATCCTGAACTGCTTCATGAATTGAGAAGAAATTGCTTGCCCTCTAGAATTTCTTTGACACAATTCTTTAGCATTGGTCCTCCCACCCTGCTAGTTCAATTTCTCTCTCATCTTTCCAATTTTGAATGCCGCAGCGAAAGCCTGTAAGGTAGGTTCATACAATTCCTGAAATCTTATAAACACTGCTGGAAAGTCTGCATGAAAGGAAGATAATGAACTTGATTCTGCTATCCATAGAGTTTTGACTATAATTAACTTAACTGCTTTTTTAAAAAATAATTAGGGTTGCCAGGTCTGCTTCCAAAAAATAGCGGACAAGCGGGGAGGGGGGGGATGTTAAGTAGTAAAAAAATTTTTTAAAAAATTTACAATTAAATTATATATTTTCTTACAAACATTTTAACACGTATTAAAATAATCACTTCAAAACTTTACTTAAAATTCAAAACATCAAATATATTATAATAATATGTAAAATATTAAATTACATTTTACTTTGCTGTCGTGTGTATTTTTTATTTGACTGCGCAGCTTTGATCAATTCTTTGTGTTTAGGGAATATTTATTTATTTTATTTTTATTTATTTATTTATTTCAATTTGTATACTGCCCTTCTCCAATAGGACTCAGGGCGGTGAACAGCCAAAGTAAAAAAACAAGACATACAAAATTTAAAAACAGTTTAAAATAATTAAATATTTTTGGCCGCAATTTAAAACAAACCCAATTTAAAATCAATTAAAACTTAACCCAAAACTGTGGGATCAAGCCAGTTCTTTGAATAATTCTTTAATTTCAGTATAACGTTGAGAAATATTAAAAAATATACAAAGTTCACTTCGAACTGATGGTACAAGCAGTTGGTTACGTTCGTCAGTCCACAAATTTCCCATGACGCTGAAAATTCGTTCAACGTTTGCATTTGATACCGGAATTGATGCATAATACTGGAACAGTTTCAGTAAACTCGGAGCTGGCTCTTTCTTGAAAAAGTACGTCCACTTATCAAGGGATGAATCGCCCTGCAGATGAACATAAACTTCTTCTAAGGCAGAAATTTCATCGAAGAGAGTGTTGGGTGGAAGTTCTTCTCACCATGGTGATAATAACCAGATGTTTGTCATTTCTTCTAAAGTTGGAGGATTATTGCGATCAATTAAATTGAAAGAACTTAGCGTCTCATATACTGAATCGGTGAAATTATACCATTTTTCTAGGTACGCAATGGCTCTTTGATACACGTTGATGGCTTCTTTCTTGAACTTTTGCATGGCATTCTCAGGCAAATGTTTTTTACATAAGGCAAATAAAACTTTCATTCCAAAAAACTGCTCATTGTATTTTATTTTTTTTGCAAAGAATCACACAGCTTACACATGATAATGTGAAGATCACATGCAAGAATTTTCTTGCTTTCCAGCTTCAGTAGGGTGTCTTGCATTATTGTCATGAAGAAGTCTTGGTAGTACAGTGGTCTAAAGCACCCTGTTATTAAGACCAGCTGCCTGCAATTACTGCAGGTTCGAATCTCGCCAGGCTCAAGGTTGACTCAGCCTTCCATCCTTTCTAAGGTAGGTAAAATGAGGACCCGGTTTGTGGGGGCAATAAGCTGACTTTGTATAAATATACAAAAGGATGAAGGCTATTGCTTAGCGCATTGTAAGCCGCCCTGAGTCTCCGG